ACCCGCCACTGCCATTTGTCTTAAAGAAAGTTTATGATTAAATTGGGGCAGCAGACCCGCCACTGCCATTTGCCTTATAGAAAGATTATAATTAAATTGGAGCAGCAGACCCGCCACTGCCATTTGCCTTATAGAAAGTTTATGATTAAATTTGGGCAGCAGACCCGCCACTGCCATTTGTTTTGTAGAAAGTTTATGCTGAAATTGGGGCAGCAGACCCGCCACTGCCATTTGTTTTATAGAAAGTTTATGATTAAATTGGGGCAGCAGACCCGCCACTGCCATTTGTCCGATAGAAAGTTTATGATTAAATTGGGGCAGCAGACCCGCCACTGCCATTTGTCTTATAGAAAGTTATGATAAAATTGGGGCAGCAGACCCACCACTGCCATTTGTCTTAAAGAAAGTTTATGATTAAATTGGGGCAGCAGACCCGCCACTGCCATTTGCCTTATAGAAAGTTTATGATTAAATTGGGGCAGCAGACCCGCCACTGCCATTTGCCTTATAGAAATTTATGATTAAATTGGGGCCGCAGACCCGCCACTGCCATTTGTCTTAAAGAAAGTTTATGATTAAATTGGGGCAGCAGACCCGCCACTGCCATTTGCCTTATAGAAAGTTTATGATTAAATTGGGGCAGCAGACCCGCCACTGCCATTTGTCTTATAGAAAGTTTATGATTAAATTTGGGCAGCAGACCAGCCACTGCCATTTGTCTTATAGAAATTTATGATTAAATTGGGGCAGCAGACCCGCCACTGCCATTTGCCTTATAGAAATTTATAATTAAATTGGGGCAGCAGACCCGCCACTGACATTTGCCTTATAGAAAGTTTATGATTAAATTGGGGCAGCAGACCCGCCACTGCCATTTGCCTTAAAGAAAGTTTATGATTAAATTGGGGCAGCAGACCCGCCACTGCCATTTGTCTTAACGAAAGTTATGATAAAATTGGGGCAGCAGACCCGCCACTGCCATTTGTCCTATAGAAATTTACGATTAAATTGGGGCGGCAGACCCGCCACTGCCATTAGTCTTATAAAAAGTTTATGATTAAATTGGGGCAGCAGACCCGCCACTGCCATTTGCCTTATAGAAAGTTATGATTAAATTGGGGCAGCAGACCCGCCACTGCCATTTGCCTCATAGAAAGTTTATGATTAAATAGGGACAGCAGACCCACCACTGCCATTTGCCTGATAGAAAGTTTATGATGAAATTGGGGCAGCAGACCCGCCACTGCCATTTGTCTTATTGAAAGTTTATGATTAAATTGGGGCAGCAGACCCGCCACTGCCATTTGTCTTATAGAAAGTTATGATAAAATTGGGGCAGCAGACCCGCCACTGCCATTTGCCTTATAGAAAGTTTATGATTAAATTGGGGCAGCAGACCCGCCACTGCCATTTGCCTTATAGAAAGTTTATGATTAAATTGGGGCAGCAGACCCGCCACTGCAATTTGACTTATAGAAAGTTTATGATTAAATAGGGGCAGCAGACCCGCCACTGCCATTTGCCTTATAGAAAGTTTATGATTAAATAGGGGCAGCAGACCCGCCACTGCCATTTGCCTAATAGAAAGTTTATGATTAAATAGGGGCAGCAGACCCGCCACTGCCATTTGCCTGATAGAAAGTTTATGATTAAATTGGGGCAGCAGACCCGCCACTGCTGTTTGTCTGATAGAAAGTTTATGATTAAATTGGGGCAGCAGACCCGCCACTGCCATTTGTCTTAAAGAAAGTTTATGATTAAATTGGGGCAGCAGACCCGCCACTGCCATTTGCCTTATAGAAAGATTATAATTAAATTGGAGCAGCAGACCCGCCACTGCCATTTGCCTTATAGAAAGTTTATGATTAAATTTGGGCAGCAGACCCGCCACTGCCATTTGTCTTATAGATATTTATGATTAAATTGGGGCAGCAGACCCGCCACTGCCATTTGCCTTATAGAAAGTTTATGATTAAATTGGGGCAGCAGACCCGCCACTGCCATTTGTCTTATAGATATTTATGATTAAATTGGGGCAGCAGACCCGCCACTGCCATTTGCCTCATAGAACGTTTACGATTAAATTGGGGCAGCAGACCCGCCACTGCCATTTGCCTTATAGAAATTTATAATTAAATTGGGGCAGCAGACCCGCCACTGACATTTGCCTTATAGAAAGTTTATGATTAAATTGGGGCAGCAGACCCGCCACTGCCATTTGCCTTAAAGAAAGTTTATGATTAAATTGGGGCAGTAGACCCGCCACTGCCATTTGTCTTAACGAAAGTTATGATAAAATTGGGGCAGTAGACCCGCCACTGCCATTTGTCCAATAGAAATTTACGATTAAATTGGGGCGTCAGACCCGCCACTGCCATTAGTCTTATAAAAAGTTTATGATTAAATTGGGGCAGCTGACCCGCCACTGCCATTTGCCTTATAGAAAGTTATGATTAAATTGGGGCAGCAGACCCGCCACTGCCATTTGCCTTATAGAAAGTTTATGATTAAATTGGGGCAGCAGACCCGCCACTGCCATTTGTCTTATAGAAAGTTTATGATTAAATTGGGGCAGCAGACCCGCCACTGCCATTTGTCTTATAGAAAGTTATGATAAAATTGAGGCAGCAGACCCGCCACTGCCATTTGCCTTATAGAAAGTTTATGATTAAATTGGGGCAGCAGACCCGCCACTGCCATTTGCCTGATAGAAAGTTTATGATTAAATTTGGGCAGCAGACCCGCCACTGCCATTTGTTTTGTAGAAAGTTTATGCTGAAATTGGGGCAGCAGACCCGCCACTGCCATTTGCCTGATAGAAAGTTTATGATTAAATTGGGGCAGCAGACCCGCCACTGCTGTTTGTCTGATAGAAAGTTTATGATTAAATTGGGGCAGCAGACCCGCCACTGCCATTTGTCTTAAAGAAAGTTTATGATTAAATTGGGGCAGCAGACCCGCCACTGCCATTTGCCTTATAGAAAGATTATAATTAAATTGGAGCAGCAGACCCGCCACTGCCATTTGCCTTATAGAAAGTTTATGATTAAATTGGGGCAGCAGACCCGCCACTGCCATTTGTTTTGTAGAAAGTTTATGCTGAAATTGGGGCAGCAGACCCGCCACTGCCATTTGTTTTATAGAAAGTTTATGATTAAATTGGGGCAGCAGACCCGCCACTGCCATTTGTCCGATAGAAAGTTTATGATTAAATTGGGGCAGCAGACCCGCCACTGCCATTTGCCTTATAGAAAGTTTATGATTAAATTGGGGCAGCAGACCCGCCACTGCCATTTGCCTTACAGAATGTTTATGATTAAATTGGGGCAGCAGACCCGCCACTGCCATTTGCCTTATAGAAATTTATGATTAAATTGGGGCAGCAGACCCGCCACTGCCATTTGTCTTATAGATATTTATGATTAAATTGGGGCAGCAGACCCGCCACTGCCATTTGCCTTATAGAAAGTTTATGATTAAATTGGGGCAGCAGACCCGCCACTGCCATTTGTCTTATAGAAAGTTATGATAAAATTGGGGCAGCAGACCCGCCACTGCCATTTGCCTTATAGAAAGTTTATGATTAAATTGGGGCAGCAGACCCGCCACTGCCATTTGTCTTATAGAAAGTTTATGATTAAATTGGGGCAGCAGACCCGCCACTGCCATTTGTCTTATAGATATTTATGATTAAATTGGGGCAGCAGACCCGCCACTGCCATTTGCCTCATAGAACGTTTACGATTAAATTGGGGCAGCAGACCCGCCACTGCCATTTGCCTTATAGAAATTTATAATTAAATTGGGGCAGCAGACCCGCCACTGACATTTGCCTTATAGAAAGTTTATGATTAAATTGGGGCAGCAGACCCGCCACTGCCATTTGCCTTAAAGAAAGTTTATGATTAAATTGGGGCAGTAGACCCGCCACTGCCATTTGTCTTAACGAAAGTTATGATAAAATTGGGGCAGTAGACCCGCCACTGCCATTTGTCCAATAGAAATTTACGATTAAATTGGGGCGTCAGACCCGCCACTGCCATTAGTCTTATAAAAAGTTTATGATTAAATTGGGGCAGCTGACCCGCCACTGCCATTTGCCTTATAGAAAGTTATGATTAAATTGGGGCAGCAGACCCGCCACTGCCATTTGCCTTATAGAAAGTTTATGATTAAATTGGGGCAGCAGACCCGCCACTGCCATTTGTCTTATAGAAAGTTTATGATTAAATTGGGGCAGCAGACCCGCCACTGCCATTTGTCTTATAGAAAGTTATGATAAAATTGAGGCAGCAGACCCGCCACTGCCATTTGCCTTATAGAAAGTTTATGATTAAATTGGGGCAGCAGACCCGCCACTGCCATTTGCCTGATAGAAAGTTTATGATTAAATTTGGGCAGCAGACCCGCCACTGCCATTTGTTTTGTAGAAAGTTTATGCTGAAATTGGGGCAGCAGACCCGCCACTGCCATTTGCCTTATAGAAAGTTTATGATTAAATTGGGGCAGCAGACCCGCCACTGCCATTTGTCTTATAGAAATTTATGATTAAATTGGGGCAGCCGACCCGCCACTGCCATTTGCCTGATAGAAAGTTTATGATTAAATTGGGGCAGCAGACCCGCCACTGCTTTTTGTCTGACAGAAAGTTTATGATTAAATTGGGGCAGCAGACCCGCCACTGCCATTTGCCTGATAGAAAGTTTATGATTAAATTGGGGCAGCAGACCCGCCACTGCCATTTGCCTTATAGAAAGTTTATGATTACATTTGTAAATTGGGGCAGCAGACCCGCCACTGCCATTTGCCTTATAGAAATTGATGATTAAATTGGGGCAGCAGACCCGCCACAGCCGCTTTTCTGATAGAAGCATATGTCATTATTTATTTGGAATAGGAAGCCCCGCCCACTCGTGCAACGTTTGCACCTGGCTGCATTCCACAGCTCCAAATTCTTGAATACTTATTAAGCATCTGTGCGCTGACCAATTAAAAGAATGCAACGCGTGCTGGACCACGCCCGCTCACGCGCTAATGCGGTCCAGGCTTCTTTTCATTGGTCACAACAATTGCGGTCCAGGTGTTTGCTTTAATGAGTTGCTTACTGAATTTGGGTCGCGCAGCTAAAGCGAAAAAGAAGTTTTTCTTCTCACACAAAAGATCATTAGGCCAAAAGCCATGGAGGTAGGACAAAAGCAACAAAAGGGCAAAAGGCGTAGACGGCCCTTTCTTTGAAAAAAAAGCGCATTATGTTCTTATTTACCGACACAAAATTCACGACTCATGGATTTATCTTTCACGATACTTTGAAAAGAAATGCGAAATACTTATAGAAATTTATACGTTGACGCCCGTTTGTATTTTATTTCATACGTTTTATAATTTTCAAAATGTTTTTATTTACCAACAACAAACATACGGGGTAAGGTTTTGAAACAAACATACGGTGTAAGGTTTTATCTTTCAAGGTACTTTAAAAAGAAATGCTAAATACCCTGACAACCGTTTGATAATTATTCACTTGGACAGCAGACTCGCCACTCACTTTTATTATAGAAATGTATACTTTGACACCCGTTTTATATCTAATTTCACACGGTTTTTTGTATTTCAAAATGTTCTTATTTACCGAGAACAAACATACGGCGTACGGTTTTATCTTTCAAGGTACTTTAAAAAGAAATGCTAAATACCCTGACAACCGTTTGATGATTATTCACTTGGACAGCAGACTCGCCACTTTCACTTTTCTTACAGAAATTTATACTTTGACACCCGTTTTATAATTTCACACGGCTTATTTTTTTTCAAAAATTCTTATTTACCGACAACAAACATACGGCGTAAGGTTTTGAAACAAACATACGGAGTAAGGTTTTGAAACAAACATACGGCGTACGGTTTTATCTTTCAAGGTACTTTAAAAAGAAATGCTAAATACCTTGACAACCGTTTGATAATCATTCACTTGGACAGCAGACTCGCCAATGTCACTTTTCTTACAGAAATGTATACTTTGACACCTGTTCTATATTTAATTTCACACGGTTTGTATTTTTTTCAAAATGTTCTTATTTACCGACAACAAACATACGGCGTACGGTTTTGAAACAAACATACGGCGTACGGTTTTATCTTTCAAGGTACTTTAAAAAGAAATGCTAAATACCTTGACAACCGTTTGATAATTATTCACTTGGACAGCAGACTCGCCACTGTCACTTTTCTTATAGAAATTTATACTTTGACGCCCGTTTTGTATTTTATTTCATACGTTTTGTATTTTTCAAAATGTTGTTATTTACCAACAACAAACATACGGCGTACGGTTTTGAAACAAACATACGGTGTACGGTTTTATCTTTCAAGGTACTTAAAATGTAAAATACTTTGACTCCCATTTTTATGTCTTTTTTTTAGATTTGGAATATAATTTAGACCGTACTGCTCCGTACATTTCAATTTCAATACCAATCAATGGAATTTGAATGGAATTCATTTGCTCACCTCGGTTTCTTCTTAGAAAAGATACAACTCACCGAGTCTGTCCATCTCCAAAATCGTCATTCAGATCATTCGACACACAAATCACAAATTCATTCCAATCGCAAGATTCCATTCCACAGTTGGTTTTCAAGAGTCACAAAATATTCAGGCTCAGTGCCAAATGTTTAAAATTAATAGTAGGCCTACTTTTCAGTTCTGTTTGTCAGAAGTTGTTCAAGTGTTCGAGCCTTTCGAAAAGTACTTGTAGAAATGCAACGCCGGCACTCGAAGTTCCGAAGTGTACAGGTAAGTGTCTCACCAACTCCGCCGAGTTCCCACCGTGAGTTACGGCGTTGGACTGGGGCGTGGCCGCTAGTTTTGGAAGCATCCGGCCGAGCATTTCTGTACTCTAAATCCAACACGAGCAAATAAGAAGAGAAACTGCCACTCAAGCCTTGCAAGTGCAAGTTAGTCACTTGCACAGTGAAGGCGAATGGGTAGTGTCTTATTAGCTTCAGTGACGAAAACAATTCAATGCCGAAAAAATGGCAAAAATATACCCAGCGATACGTGGGTTGCGCTGGAGATCCTTCCCGTGTGAACTCCAATGGGGGAAATGAAGGGATCGTGCAGAATGCAGGCCACGTGCGCGCATCTGAAAATAAGCTCTTGATTTTGGCGAGTGCTCCATGTATTGCTACGCACTGCATATTCCGCGATTCTCTCGTTTAGTTTTTGGCGAAAACATTTACATAAATTACTAAAGTGAATAATTTTAAAGAAAATATAAGGAATGCCTAACTTACGCAAAGAATCATATTTGTTTTCAGAAAGGGCTGGTCCCTACTTTGATTTAAGGGAAATTATTCAGAGGGAGTAAATGTATCTGACTGAACTGATGATTAGCCATTGGTCAGATTTTAAGAGGTGACCTCGGCCTGTTACAGCGCAGTATCAGTATCTGGCCAATTTGATTGGATAACCAGGCTATTATTTAAGCAATAGACCTTTCTTTTGTTTGTAAACATTGGTGCCATTTTACATGGGCTGCCGCAAGCGCATAAATTGAAGCTGTGGTTGGCAACATATTTTTCCAGAAAAATCCAAAAAAAGTCCCCATAACGCCCTCAATACAAAGTAAAAAGGCATGTTTTTAAGAATTATGTTGTGGCTTTGTTGACAATGTTGTATTTCCATCAATCAAATAATGTTTTGGTTATCTGTAATAACTCTTCTTCATCTTTGCAGTGTTGGACCTTCCATAGTTTTGCAACCCGCGGTTGGACGTGTATATTTTTGATTTTTACATATATTTTTTTTGGACTCCAATGATTAGCCTAGTGCGGGACTCAAGAATGTTGCAACCTGACGCCATTTCAGCGGTTGTGTACAAAGTCTATGGAGAGGCCAGACCATTTTTTAAGAATTTCCGAACAACATTAGAAATGTTTCTCAGTCCCAGCTTTGTCATTTTTGTACTTTTGTTCATTTGTTGGCCGAATAAATAATACAAATAATAATAATGCCGTCTTTTATGTCGTCATTTTTGCAATTTCTGACCTTTATTAAAAGTGTTGTCAGGTTGCAACCATTTACAAGTAAGTGCGCCCTCTTTCGACTACGTTTTCGTCATGAAACAGTCGTCGAAGATATTCAAGATGGCGACTTCCATACGCAAGCTGGCGAAACTCATGAAACTGCGGAGTGACCACGTGGGAGAGGACGATTCAGACGAATTTGATTCCAGTTCGGCGGAAGAAAGCGAGGATTCCGATGCTGAGGTTTATCTTTATTAATAAATTACCTTTGTTTGAGAAAGAAAGTCGTTTTTGGATCAAAGATTTCGGGGAATATTCGAACTATATTCGGTACCCATAGGAAAGTGTAGGATGGAACGCCGTATTATCGCGGTACTTATCACGTTTCTCGTTCGGAATAGAGATTGCCCACTAACCTTCCAGAATTGTCCTGTCATATGTGTAGTATAACTCTTCCTTTTTAAATTAATATAAAAAAATCTGACGGGTGGTTGTGATTTATTCCGTGTACGATGCCTGTGAAAATAGACATGCGCGGCGTGTGCGAACGGAGGTGGACTCCCTATTATCGCGGTATGCGGGAAGTGGTTTTTATAATGATCCCAACTTTTTTGTTCATAGTTTATCTTTGACCAAAACACCCCCAGAATAAGGTCTGATATTTTCCCTGTAACGTTCAAGTTGATTCCCCGAAAGGAGAACACAAATCCATGAGGCAAGTCTACTGATAGGCGATTGAGGGCGCCATTCACTTAACACGGTGTGCCGTTTTATTTTCGCTAACGCGCGGTGCTTATTTTGATTCCGTAAAAGTTGTTACGATTTCGCGCTGCAATTGCAAATATCGTCATTCGACTTCATTTTAAATTTGCAGCTGAAGAATGGGAACCAGACAATGGAACTTTCATGGACAGAGCACAATTAAAGATTTATGTTAAAATATAAATGGTACCTTTTAGCAGACACGGTGAGGGAAAATTTTTCAAGTTTTGGAAAACGTTAATATTTATTAAAATCGTTAAAAGTCCCGAAAGACACAACATTTTTTAATCGTCCTTTTTACACAACTCGGTAGAAAATCCTTGATGACTGGTGAACTGGATAAAAATCGCCACTTGAAGGAGTTTTGACACTGTAAAAAGAGAAATTTCCCATGCCGCGATAATAGGGATGCCGCGATAATAGGGAGTCCGACTATACATGTAAACAAAGCGTGACGTCATTGTGTCTTAGGTCCATCCAGAATTATATTGTCTAAAAACTCACCGAGTACACCTTATCCCTATTCTATGGCCACGCAATGGAGTAAACTCTATGCTAAGGGCCATACAAATGCGAGCACAAAAGTTGGTAAAATGATAACATTTTTTTCATGGAAATATTTCGGCCTGCTGATACTCGGCATGGGGGGTTCTTTTATACTCAAGCATCCCACTTTTTCACAAAAATGAGGACTTCCCAATGGTTCCTTTGTGTTAAATTTGTCGCTTTATTTGATAATCGAAGTGGAAAGAATGCACACAATTTTACAAAATAATGCAAATTAAGAGTGGCAAATTAAAAGACAAATTTCACCAAAAGGAACCATTGGAAAGTCTTAACTTTGGTTAAAAAACGTTGAATGCTTGGATACAAGAATCCCCATGCCGAGTATCGGGCTGAAATATTGCTATGAAAAAATGCCGTCGTTTTACCAACTTTCTGTGCTCACATTTGTGCGGACCTTAGCACAGAGTTGTAGGGCATGCAAGCACACCCCCGCCCAGCCAGAAAATGGACCTTAGTGTATGGAACTTTCGTGCGAAGTGGTCCCCAGCTTAGTAGGTCACGGCAAACAAAGCCACTTCCAGCGAGATCAGCACTTTTGAAAATAGATCTGACATAACTTCCAGAAGTTGGTATCTCCAAGATTGGTTTATTCAAGCAAAAAAAAATCAATTATGCACATAAACCTGGAAATATATTTGTTTAAGGGTTCCAATTACATTGGGAGGATTAAACAATTAAAGATATATGAGAAGCGATTATAAAACAGAAAGGGAATTCATTTTAAATATTAATCAAAAGCTTCAGAAAAATTACCCTCCACAAAACACACAAAAATGATTGAAATCAGAATAAACAAAATTGGCCCAAATATTAATTAATTAAAGCCCTTTTCACTATAATGATTGTACAAAAACGGTGCAAACATTCTACTAAAATTTGAAAAGATAATTTCTGCAATGTAAATTTAAAGAATATAAATTTCAAGCACATAAAAGGAGCGCAACATTTGGACTTATATTGTATACCCCCTCTTAAAATTGACGATTCTTTGAATAATACAAACGTTTATCCAAACATTTATCTGATTGTACTCTTTGTGAGGTTTCCCTCTCAATTCTGAATCGGTCTGGGCAAGGTCCATCTCCACAGCTGCCATTTTGGTCTTGTTCCCTGAATGTTTGGGAACAATTTTGATTTTGATTGAGACACAGGCACCAGTCTGTCAAGGTTATGTTTGGTTCCCATTGCGCACGGACAGGCTTAACTTAAACCGACGGACAAGCTGCCAGACTAATTTTCCTTAATAAAACAAAGTACATGATTACGACTTTACTACAAATAGCAAAAAAATTGTACAGCACAGTTCTACACAGCACTAATTATGCAAATCATACCTCATGATGCTATTTAAAGGTGACCAGTACTTTGTCCGAGTCACCATTACATCAAAATGCATAAATAAGTCTATTTAACAAAGGCTACTTTTGGTGATACGATATTAAATCTGCATACAATATTAACAGCACAAACAAAAATCTTAAGCAATATAATTACCTATTGCTACAATTGATACGTTTTACAGTCTTCATAAACAAGGTGTTTTCACTTATCATTTTTGTTGTTCTTATCTGAAGAGTAAGTCCTTTATAAACGATCTCCAAAGTATACAAAATAATTGAGAATTTGTAACTTAATACATACATGTATTCCATTCATTGTTCACCTGCATGTCATGCTGAACCTCAAAACTGTTATATAAATAGTATACACTCATATGTAGACAAAATGGGTGTCGTGGTTGCCATGGCGATTGTTTCAAAACTTTTCCTACCCCGTTTGAACCTAGCTGAATTCTGATTTTTTTTATCTCGTTAGTCACATTCTTTTCGCTTTTGATTCTGTTCCAGTGATTGCCTCCAGTTAAAAAGAAAAAGAAAAAAAAAGCAAGGGTCTTGCAATATTTAGGCTCATTGTACGAAACAAAGTTTAATTAATTTTTTTTTCAAGGTTTGAGTAGAATCTGAAACACTGTTTACAATTGTTTTCAATTTCGGTTAGACTGGTATACAATGAATTACCTTTCAATGTGACCTCAAGCATTTGTAATTAAAATTAAAATGCGAAAACCAAAAATGGAAATATCTCAATCGTGTTATGGACCAACTTTTATATTTCTTACCACACAAAATAATATCCTTCATTAAACAAGGCCATGAATAGTACAAAAGTTAGCGAATAACAAATGCTATGTTTCACAAGATTTGCTGTTTTTGGTCAGATATGAAAGCCCATAAAAAAATTTGGGAACTATAAATTTAAATTAGTTTGCAAAAGACTGAATAGGGTGCGCTGGAATTGTGTTGAATGGCATTTTTACATTTCCGCTCGCTACCGATGTTGAAATCAAAACGTGTCCATGGTAAGTTAAAGCGAGTCACATCGAACATGGGTAGGGAAGGCGATACGTTCACACTAAGACTAGCGTTTACGTGGGTTGGCAGTAGATTGTGGATTTTCTACCTCGGTACAGCCTCTCAACCCCGTGTAGAGCGCTGGATACGTGCAGAATGCATGGGCTTTCTTGAAGGTTGTGTAACAACCAGAGGAAGAAACAGTTCTTATGCAGAGAATGTCCTCTTTTTTTGTTTTGTTTTACTTTTCCCGTGTATATTTTCCCAACAATTAGTAATGAAATTGAAGATTACTTTGAAAAAGCAGTTTTCCAAGGAGTTTGCATCCATTCAATACTTTGCTGAATGCACAAAAAGGACCCCAATTATTGAAACCACAGCCCAAGGCAAATGAGAACCACAAATCTCCAAGCTGGCATCCAAAGCTGATGCCGAGTTTTTGGTAACGACATTTGATTTCATCCAACAGCGTTATATTATCAGGTGTGCCAATCCAAACATGTACGTGTGTACATTTAGTTTGCAGTATTCAATTTAGTTTGAAAATTCAATATCAAAACACAAATTTGTGAAACATATTTTATTGTCTCCAGCTTTGGCCAGCGGTGTGTTCCCTCATGCAAACATGTGTTTGCGTTCGTAAGCAAGACCCTTCAAATGAGCTCACCCTTAATAGAATGACAATGCAATCGAAAAAACAAAACTGTTTTCAAAATGGCGACGCCCTGTATGTGATTCCTACAAGCATCAGTGTTCAGAAAGCAGCTTTTAAACTCCTGAAAAAAATGTGGTCTGAACGTGAATGTTGAAAACGGATATGCCAGTCCCGACAGAATCATTCTGTGCATTGCGTGTGCTGGCCATTTTGGAAAACGTAGCTAACAACAATGTGGCCAATGTTGGCAGACGTTAGCACTGTTTGTGCAAGTGGAACGCTCCCCAGGGCCCAATTTCATGGATCTGCTTACCGTTAGGGTTAGGGAAAATTCCTGCTTACTGTAGCAGAAAATTCCGTGCTTATGGTAAGTGTATTTTCACTGGTTAGCAAGGAATTTTGGCTTGTGCGCATGCGTACATGTACATCCCATAACTAACGATTGTGTGTTTACATGGTTACTGCAGAATTATTTTGCCAGCGTTGTTAGCACAGAATGATGACCGTAAGCGCGGAATTCTGTGGTTAGCAGAGCCATGAAATTGGGCCCAGATGATACATAACCCTGTTTGGAGCCAAATTCAAAGGAATTATTCTAAAGCCAGACACGTGACCAAAGCTGGAGACGCAGCCGCATTTTCACAAACTCCCAAAGTCATTTTAATGACACCCATAGCCTATAAACAGTGCCCTCTAGCGACCGATAAAGTAAAGCATGCTACATCTGCTGTCCCTCACTGGTTGTAGTACTTTCGTTTGCACTGCACGGAGCAGAAGATGTTGCGATCCTTGGGGAGGAAGGAACGACCGACGAGCGAGACGGCACAGGAAGAGCACTTGAAGCAGACGGCGTCCGCGTGCCAGAAGTTATTCTCATGGTTCAATCGCTTGCTGTCTGCCTCGATCTTCTCGTTGCAGGTGCCACAGTACTGGAGTTGGAAAAAATACAAATTATGTCATTCCTTTTTCTTTTTTGAACGAAATAGTGTGATTTCAACCTGAGACATCCAGAGTGCTCTTTCAGTGTTCTTTGTAGTCTGGATCCCAGACCAAAAGATTCTGATAAACCATGTGCCCAGTGACGCCAACAGGCAACTGTTGGGCAACTCAAACATTTAAGCATCTTTAGCGTGTGAAATGGCCGCATTAAACTTTACATGCCAACACTTTTAAAGCCATTCATATTTCAAAAATCCTAACATAAGAAAAAGTCCTGACCCCCAAATCCTGACGTCAGGACAAATCCTGATATCGGGACAAATCAATCCTGACATCAGGAAAAATCCTGACATCAGGAAAAATCAGGACATCAGAAAGAAATCCTGACATCAGGAAAAAGCCTGACATCAGGAAAAAACCTGAGATCAGGCAAAAACCTGACATCAAGAAATATCCTGACATCAGGGAAAATCATGACATCAGGAAAAATCCTGACATCTGGAAAAATCCTGACAAACATTACTCGCTATCTTACCTTTGCGAATAGCTTGTCATAGCACGGCAAGCAGTAAGGGTGGCTCTCCCTGGCCACGTAGCGTCTACCCCCAAGGACAGTGTCGCAGTTCCAGCAGCAGAAATGATCAATGTGCCAGCTCAGCTCCTCAGCTAGCGTGTACTTCTCAGAGAAGATCAGCTGCAAAAAATAAAATCACAAAATCACCATACGTCAAGTTTTTTTCCCTGGTACTGCCTCTAGGACAATAGACCTTTATCATGCTGCCACCATTTCAGTCATGTTCCCTGTATCCAATAACAGTAGTGAATGATATTTTTTGTGCAAAAAAGAACCAGACTATTTTTCCTTCCAGCCCCGCCTTTGTAACGGTGATTTGAACGGCAAAAATCAAGATGGCTGCAACATGATCATGGTCTATTCATACTCAACACCAAAGTAAAATCGAAGGGCATTTCGTAAGATCAACAAAAGAAGATTCAGTACAAAATCTGTGAAGCACTGAGCTTCACTGTGGAACTCCATGCCAGAATCATGTTTTCCTTTCGTTTAATTTATCCCACTTCAAGCAAAATGTCAACAATTGTCAACATTTAAAAGGCCTGGTTGGCTAATTACATGGATGCTCCAAGATGTTCATTCAGTGCCACCTGATGTACATATTGTAGCCTGGCTGCGTGAGGTTGCTGTTCGCACTTTGTACAGTGCGTACGTGCACCGCGTGCTCAACGCGCTGATGCTGTGTATGTTATTTACGTTAGTGACCGACCATCATTCAATGGACACTACCGCCGAATGCCTTGACCAAGGCTAATGACTTGATGGAACCTTGACAATGAAACCTTGACATCACGATCCAGATACATGTATGAGCAAATTTTGTCAAGGTACATGTACATGCCGGCAATGATTGAACTTCTTGACTCATGGGCCTGGATAGGTTATACTGCCCTCTGTTGACACAAAGTAACTAAAAGCACTGTTGTGAATCAAGACTCCAAGAATGGTAGGATTACCCCTAATGCCTATGAACGGGCAAATAGTGGCCCACTGTGTAGGCCACATGCAAGAAGAGGCTTCCAGTGAATAGCCATTCTGAATCAATTGAATAGAATTTTGTGCACTCTGGGACCAGCTTTGCAAGGCTATATTGCCTTGCCTTATCTAAAGAAACTGGTAAAGAAAAAAAAATGTTAACTGGCCTCTTATGGTGAAAATTAGAGGCAATTACATGACGGGCTGTTGGAAGTCTTCTGTGCACTTTGTATTTCCCAGTTAATGGCGTGAGGAAAAAAGTAGGAAGTTGGCAATGGGTAAGATAATAATTGCGTGTCCAGCTTAATTGCAAAAGCCCTGGGGGGTTTACATAGGGGATTATGAAGGGAGGGGAAAGACTGGTGGTGAATTCTGGCAAGCAGGCTGGGCAATTAGAATGCTGTTCCTCTCAACAGTACGTCATAAGTGCAAGTTGGAAAGATGTTCTTTTCAAGTTGAATACATGGATGCGGAGGGAACGCTATTGTGTTTATACTACCCCGGTAGTAGCGGTACATATTTACATACATATTTATGAAATATATGCATACTGTACCGTCAATCACAAATGAGTGTGATGTAAGAAAAATATTTAAAACATTTGAAACTGTGGTCCAATGGTTATGGTGTTCGACTCGTGTGCCGTGGTACATGGGTTCGAATCCTGACCGTGGGAACATGGTGCTTGCGCTCCTGAGCAAGGCGCTTTACCATTATTGCTTTGTCCTTAGGATGGGACGTGAAGCCGTAGGTCCCGTGTGTTGTGTAATGCACGTTAAAGAACCCAGTGACACTTATCGCTAAGAGAAGGGGTTTACCCCGGTGTTTCTGGCAGTGGCTGCTTAATGCGCCGCAGCACCTTGTAAACCATTATAAAGGTGCTACATAATGGTTCTCATATTTCCGATGTACTTCATTTACCTGTCTCTAGTAATAGACATAATTTCCAGCGCCTTGAGTACCTAATTGTTGGTAGATACGTGCGCTATATAAGACTTCAGTATTACTATTATTATTATTTCTAAACTACGCTAAGAGGTTGTTTCACAAAATATTATGGTGCGTGTACATGTTTTAAAAGTTACATCACATATATAAGTGTAAATCCAAGAAAACCATTTACATTCTAGAGCATACATTTCTTTAAAACTGCATAAACCATCCGACCACAGCGAGCTTTGCAGTTGAGCCAATGAGATGTCTGCACTAGTAAGTAGGAGGTTGGGAGGTTGTGGGTTTGCATCCAACCGAAGTAATCGTGTACATTTTCCTAGAAGGCTCTTCGCTTGTGTAGGGCAAAATATCTTAATGCAAATTTTCACATAAACTCATTGATAGCATTACAAGCTACTATGTTTGATTTGGATCTGACCACCGAAAATGTGGTGGTTTGAGTAATTGAGACATCTTCACTATACGTACATGTAGAAAGCAAGGGGTCCTGGGTCGAGTTTCACCCAAAAAAGCTTAAAGGATCTCGGACAGCACTGAGTATAAAGTGCTGCTAATATTTAGAGAGCAATTTTGTTGAAAACTTTTACAGAGCAAACTCTATACTTTTGTAAATTTTGTATGGCCAAAACTACTTCTTTAGGTAATGATGAGTATTAAAGAAAAGCCTTATACTATGCAATGCAAAGTGATATTTGCGTAGGCAAAACCCAAAATCAAAATGCACATTTTGGTAGAAAAAGCCTGGTTTACCTCATCACATGCTGCGCAGCGGGGCTTGAGCAGGTCGGCGTAGTGACGTCCACAGAAGATGTCCTCGTCCTTGTAGAAGTAGATCAGATCCACCAGGAGCTCGTTGCAGGTACGGCAGCGGAAACAGCCCGGATGCCAACACTTGTCGTTACCGGCACGCTCAGCGAAGACGGCTACATCACCACCAGTCATGCCCTTGGCGCACCGGCAGCACTTCTGTAAGGGTGACAAGGGGGGGGAGGGGGGGGGGGGAGAGGGGAGGTGAGAGGAAACAACCTGTCAAAACATCTGGAAAATGGATGTTACTTAGAGCTCCCGTATGGGAAGTAAAGTAATTGGGAAATTTCCTGACAGATTTTTTTTTTTTACCAGAATGACTGAGCTGACCTCCATGTATGTACTATGGTTGCAGACCAGTTAAAAGGCCCAAAATTGCCTTTGCCGCCCAAATCAAGATTTGTGTACCAGTACCGTCAGTTTCTCTCAATATGGACTCCACGCGCCAACAAAGAGGGCGCAATTTTACCTCTTTTGAGAGCTCCGCGGACAGAACACACAGTGTGAGCATGCTGTACTGTTCTGGTTTGCGCAAGAAGTACGCACGACATCCTAAATGTGCAAAAGCTATTAGCCACAGTGGCGTCATCAGCGCGCACTGAATACGCTCAAACTTTACAGTCTTTGAACTTGCATTTCTGAGACCTTGTGAGGTGAAATTGGACCAAAGGTTGCTACATTTTGCTGAATATTGTGATGCGACCCAAATCAAGATTTATATACTGTCAAATTCTCTCGAAATATGGAGATTTGTAAGGGGGGGGGGGCGGGGTTTGCAGTTGTAGCAATTGACAATTGTGCAGTGAGGCATGAGGGAAATTAACTAACACTCACAGGGGTTAGGCCAAGGATTAGGAGTACCTGCACAATTCAAAAAATTCAAACTTTACTTCGTGGTTTTGCTGTTATTTCAAAACTAATTAGACGGACACTTTTTTGGGGACATACTTTAGATGCCATAATGGATTCTTTCTCTCAAAATATGGAGAGTTATGGGGGGTTTCCAATCGTAGCAATTGACAATTGTTTAGTGAGGCGTGAGGGTCCAACACAGAGATTTTGGGCAGTGTGAAGGTACCTCTCGACAACCCTTACCCATTTTGTCTCATCTGCACCGGCCTTGGGTGTCTCGGCAGCCTGGAGGGCTTGGGCATCTCCCCCTACCCCCACCGATGCCTTGCCTGGTTGGTGCTCCGTCCCCGGCACCACATCCGGTGCCCCTGGGTGGCCGGGGGCCGGCGCGGCTGACTCCTCCAGGGATAGGTTCTGCATCTGAAGCTGGGGATTAGCGTCCGGTACCACTGGCTGAACCTGTGTGGGTGAGACAATGATCAGGAAAGCTGTTATGAAATACATGGTTAATGTCAAATGATTCCTAGTCAAACTAAATTGATAAGTCATCATGAAACCTCCTAAGCCTGGTCCCTTCCTGCACATTGTGATGTAGGTGGTTCCATAAATTTGAGGTCCAATTTTGTTATGTCCCTGTTACATCTGATATAAGATTTGTAAATTCATGACACATTCTTTAATGCCCTTTTAGAGTGATTACACGTATGTAAAGCAAAGTACAGGCCAAACATTAAACAAAAATTGTTTGAAGTCAATTTTAATGATACTTGCCTGTCAAATTATACAAGTAAGGGGCACAAAAATGTCACACTTTTGGACCCCAAATTTATGGAATGAACCATAATGTACGAGGCTACTGATAACCAGCCATGCAACCCCAAAACACCTGGCTGGTTTGGAATAGTTAAACTAAGTAAAGTCCGAAACACCAGCACTTTTTTGGGGGGGGGGGGGGGGAGGGGGGGTTGGGTTGGAGGTTGAGGTAGGGTGGGGATTTTGACTGTCAGGGAGGGGAGTGGTTGGGGCCATGGTCAACAAACTTTCACCACCCAACAAAACTACAGTTGGTAAGTTACACTACATGTAAATATGATTCCCATAGCAACATAACGAGCCCAATAAAAGTCCAAAGGACATTCCCAAAAATTGGACAAGAGGGAATGTATTTTGGTAATTTGTATCATCTGTCTTCATCCTGACATAGTTTTGCAGACTTGCAGGCTACTCTACAAGTCTACATGTATACTGCATTGGGTAAGTTCCCCCCTCCACCCACTTCCAGAAATAACACAACATAATGCTCTAAGCTGTTAGTAAATCTGGCTGTCAACCTGACAATTCTTTACGCCAGCTCAAGACAGATTAACTGAGATTAAGCTTGTTATGGCAATCAAGTGTGACCATCACTTCCTACTCACAAAGCCTTATTAAGCTGGATTAGCAGGTATTTGCTACTACATGTACTCTGTATTTGGGGTTGTGGTTCCAACCATGTCCCAACAAGGATTTACAGTTACATGTAAAACAGGTGAGTCAAGTTGAGTGTACATGCTGAGTGTACATGTACAGTACATGTACATGTAAACCCAGAAATGTACTAGCACATTTGTTTATGGTGTAAATCGAGGATTTTATTTCGTTCCTCTTCCCTTTTCCTTCATTTGTATTAACTTTTTCACAACAGTTCTCATTGGTTTTGCACACATTTTGCAACCTCTATTAGGTTTCTGTCCTCGATTCACCGATGATGTTGCACGTGTGTGTCCTCGATTTACAGCATAAACAAACACACTACACACAACCCAACACGAGAACAAAGAAATGTCTCCACAGGAATACAAATTCCAGAATACATGTTCTCGTGTAGTAAAGTTTTCGAGTTTGAAATTGAAGTTTCAAAATGCTCTTATTTTAACCAGAATTAATTTCCTGGGCTGAAATTTGGACTAAATATCCCTCTTCTAAAACTCTTCCATTTGCGACAGATCAACCTACCTTGGAAATTCCTAGTTTTTGAGTAAAATCCATGTATCTATTTCGTGAAATTCTTGTGGAGACGTATTCATCTATAGAAATGTTCTTCTGGAAACGTATACAATCTTTTGTTCCCTATTGTGTTCATGTCTCCGTAAGGTAGTAAATTCCAGCACAAAGAAATGTCTCCACAGGAATACAAATTCCAGAATGTGTGTATGTGTATGTGTACACACATATCTGTATGTTGCACAAGGGCGTCGTTGCTTCTCAAAAGTGGGAGGGGGGACATAGGTACATGTACCTGTACCTTGATGAGCACTAATGCGAGCGCGAGCGGGGAGGGATTCGGGGCCCACTCAAGGGCCCCGAAAATTTTTAGATTGTAGACACTTTGTGGTGTGATCTTAGGCAATTTGTGACCGCTAAAACTTTGAGCTAAATTTCATCTTTTTAAACATCATTTTTGAATTTGGTGTCATTGAATCAGCTATTCTGAGCTACAGAATCAATAAAGTACCGGTAGGCTATAATTTGTATTCGGGGTTGAAAAAAGTGGGGGGACGAACGATATGATATCCCCAACTTCAAAACATGGGGGGAATTCCCCCTCCCCCCCCCCTCCCCCCTCCACTGATTGACGCCAGTTTACTAGTTAAAAGCTCATGTACATGTAGGTTTTCTGGTTATGCGAAGTACATGTATCAGTAAAAATTATACAGCAATCTCCGGCTAAGTCGGCACTCTTGGGACCCGAGAATTGTATCTGCATAAACTGTCTGCATAATGCACTGATGAACATGATAATACACAACAATATCGAACTCTTCAGAGAGCACTTTGCCTAATGCATCAAGACCGGTAAGTGCATGTCAAGTATCAAGCACATTCATTTATGAAGTAGCATTCCGATAACATACACCATGATGCTTGCCAAAACGTAAACAGAACAGCAACATGCTTTTGTGCATATTACCAACTAAAATCGCAAACTACCGGTATAATAACCAGAGAAATCATGTAATTTTGTGTCATAATTTTGGTAGAAAATCGGGTATCAAAATGCAGCTAACAAAATTCCCTAACGGAACATAAATGCAGTCATTATAAGACGATGAGATTCAAAATTAGAACCCCTCCAATGAGTGCGGACTTTCTCTTTCTGCAGTGTTTCTATGCAGCTTAGAATAAATTGCTTGTTAAATCACCATATTTCGTGGTTATTTCATCTGGCACACTACTGGCAATGTGCGATTCACATCCAAATGTTGGGATATGTGTACGTATGTAAACATGTAAGAAGTATTACATGTACATGTAAACGTGTACATGGATGTAAGGCCAAAAAATAAAGTATCTGGTTTCTGGTGTGCGCACCCGTCGCCATAGCCATGCGTGTCGGCAAAATGAAAAATTTTTTTTTTCAATGAAAGATGATGTCTCAAAACCGCCAAACTCACTGGTTTGACTGGAATCCTGCTGAGCACTGCACAATTTTAACGTGTTTTTAGATTGCGTTATGGTCGAGAATAAGCTTTATGTGGCCTCTCTGGACTCCCATATATTTGCACTAAGTTTAGTCGGGCACCATTTGCAGTCATCAGCCGACATTTGAAGCAAAAAAGTCAGGTAAAAAAAAAAAAAAAGCCGCGTCGCCGCACCACTTTTTGGGCAAGCTCCATACCAGAAACTGGAGACTTTTTTTTGTGGAATAAACAGCTAATTTTTCCCAGCTGCATATCCTGTGCAGAGCCTCTCAACCCTGGTCCCGACCAGCATTGGATTTTACCCAGGTGTAGAGCCCAGGACCCATGTAGAAACAGAGTCCAACATGGTGATTGTGGACCCTTACCAGGGATGAGAGTGGGGAATACTGAATAGAATTTGAAACTTTGTATGGTGGTGGTGTATACAATACTAGTGAGGTTTGCGGTAACACCATGTGGAAGAATTTCTTTTGGGAAATGTGTATCTGAAAAGAACCGGTTGGTTGTGAAACTCGACGTTCCGATCAGTATGCTCTAATCGTCTTCAGGACAGGCGAGTGTCTCTCTCTTGACATGCCTGAAGTCGATCAGAGCATATGGATCAGAACATTGCGTTTTACAACCAACCAGTTCTCTTCAGAACAACACTTCTCTAACGATTGTGAAACTTGACGCTCCGATCAGTATGCTGTGATCGTCTTCAGGAAAGACTGAGGATTGAAGACTGAAGACGAGTGTCTCTCTCCTGAAGACGATCAGAGTACACTGATCGGAATGTCGAGTTTCACAACCAACCGATTCTTTTCAGAACAACACTTCTCAAAAGATTGGGAAATTCGACGCTCCGATCAGAGACTGAAGACGAGTGTCTCTCTCCTGAAGACGCACAGCATACTGATCGGAACGTCGACTTTCACAACCAACCGGTTCTTTTCAGAACCATACTTCTTCTCGAAAGAGATTCCACATGGTATTACAACAAACCTCACTAGTATGCTGCTGAACCCTCTTTGTCAAACCCACCTGTCCGATGCCCACAGCCTTCTCCTTGTAGTCCTTGACAAAGTCCAACATCCTCTCAGCCTCCTCCGTGTTGAGCTGCTGGCAGAGCTCCGGCTGCTGGTCATGGTCAGGCAGCTGCCTCTGCATCTGCTTGGCCCGGTGCTGGGCTCCCTCCGTGCCTTCCACTGGCTGGTTCTCAATGGGGATCATCTCCATGTAACGCTTGGCCTGATAGACGGGATGAGAGAAGACAGGGGAGGGTGACATGGGATGGGAAGACAAAATGAAGCTAACAAGTGACAACTGATGACGACTATTTTAAATGATCAAGTTAAGAACTGGTTTAGACAATATTTCATATCATGACTTTAATTCTGTAAAGGCCGGTTCATACACGTACTTCACGTGTTTTCAAGCAAAGGCGAAGTGAATTTCATAACGTCAAAAATTGAAGGTCATTGTGACATTCATCGTCACCCTCACTGAAATTGGTGTGAAATATGAACCAGGCTTAAATATAGACAGGTGACCGCATGTTAAGTCCTAAGAACAACCGCTGACACCAATATGTAGCGTGTACATGTTGCTGTCATGAAAATTAATCATGTCACATCAATATGGCGTTGCAAAAAGTACGGTACATGTACCTGTATGAATATGTAGATCTTACAAACTTTTGGAAAGCACTCAGAAGGTTACAATTAAAGGTTGACATGGTTGAGGGGAAGGTGCGCACACAGGAATATCGCACATGAAAAAAAATGTGGCACACGCACAGCAAAGCTTTGCCAAGATAACTAATGTGTCACTCGAGGAAACTTTCGGTGAATTTCATGTACAGGTACATGTATGAGGTAAAACAAATAAACATGTAACATGGTTTATTTCAGGTAGATAGTCAAGATCAGCTACGCCCTAGGAACTGCATTGTTTGTCAACTTCCAATACCGTTGGGAGCTAATATCGACTATCCTCCCTCAAACCATAGGTCTATTATTTTTCCCCAGCAAACTGGTACACACTTTTGGACTTGAAAATTATCTACAAAGCAAAACTTAGAAGACACTTGCATGAAGCATGCCAAATATGCTGTCCACTGCTCGCGACCTCCTGTACTTCAGATGCACACTGTTCCACCGGGAAGTCATCTTGGAAGTCTAAGTCGCTCTCAAAACCAAAGAGAATATAAAAACACTTCAATGCAGTGTCACGGTACTGCAATCGTTGCGTAAGAAACTGCACTGTGCAAGTACATAAATGTACATTCACTCTTGAAGAATATTGGAGTTCCTGTACACGGTGAATCAAGTCTTTTAAGTTTTAAGAAACTGGTTAGGGTGGTTCAAGACCGCAAATCTGACGTCTTGAAGGTCCTTAAGAATTGGGCCACCTCAGACAGGATGTGACTTCATAGGAAATGATGACAGTGATGAATGGACCATTAAGTGAAGACCAGAGCACAGGGTCAGGTTGAAGCCGCTCCGGCCAAACCCAGCGGCCAGTTCTCTAGGATGGTCTACGGATGTGAAAGGCTATACTCTGCAGACACACCCAGGTATGAGTACACCGGTACATGCATAACTTGCATATGGGCAATTCCACAGTTACTCACGTTACATTTTCGTAACGCGAGTGACCGATTTTGTGCGTCTTGTTTATCATACATAACACATTTTTCTGGATGTCATCTTTGGTGCTTAGGTAGGTCTAGGTCTACTCTATCTACCATGGGGATAACAGTTATGAAACCTTTTCAGTAAGGTTATTACAGCCCAAGAAAACTCAAAAGTACATCCAAAATGTAACGTGAGTAACTGTGGAATTGCCCATATGTACATAAAGTCAAGATCGGCTACGCCCATTGGGCCCTCCTAAAAATGTTCTCGTAGGCCTACACGTTTATGTAATTATTATTATTTATACAGTATTAATTTTTACTGGTGATTCCAGCTTGCCAGCAATTTGTAGCTGCATATCATTATTTCTGTATCTTTTTTGCATATTGTCGTTGGTTGTTTGGTCTGGTTTAGGGGGGGGGGGGGGTTTAATTTGTCTTTCTGGTTTCAGTTTTTGGTCTTGGTGTATCTGTATGCAACTGTTTTTTTCTGTTTCTACTGTGATATTTGTGTGCATTCTTATACGACTATTCATCCTAGCTTATAATTTTTTTTTTTAACATTATGATTTTTTTAGTGATTGATTCATATTGTTTTTCTTACTGTCCTTGGTTTTATAGGCTGCTTTTTATACACCACGGATTGCTTATTTCACCATCAGAGGGATTGGATTTGGATGTTGTACATGTATTTTGGTCAGGCAAGGGAGGGGGGGGGGTTCGTTGTTTTCTGTTCTGTCCTGGGGTATCTACATGTGGTTCAGGTTTTTGAATTTGAATTACTATAGTGTTTAGTTTCCCATTTTTTTTAAAGAGTTTTAAATAATCACATTATTAATTTTAATTTAATTAATATTCCTATTTTATTTATATAAATTGTTTGATTTCGTCTAGCTAGCAGGGACGGTGTTGTTTATGTTCAGTACTGGGGTCTGGGGAGTCTACATGTGGTTCAGGCTTTTGAATTTGAATGACTATGGTGTTTGGTTTTCCATTTTTTAGAATTTAAATAATCACATTTTAAATTTTATTTTAATTAATATTCATAAATATATAAATTGTTTGATTTGGTCTAGCGAGCGGGGAGGGGTTGTTGTTTATGTTCAGTACAGGGGTGTCTACCGGTACATGTGGTTTCAGGCTTTTTAATCAATATTGTGTTTAGTAATCATTTTAGAGTTTTAAATAATCACATTTTCAGTTTAATTAAAATTCCTGTTTTATTTATATAACTTGTTTGATTTGGTCAAGCTTGTGGGGAGGGGGTTGTTTTCTGCTCTGTCTGGGGGTGTCTACCGGTAAATGTGGTTCAGGCTTTTTAATTACTAATTGTGTTATGTTAGCCATTTTTGAGTTTTTAATAATCACATTTTCTAATTTAATCTATATTCCTTTTATTTATAGTTTGAAAGCGCCAGGGAGAATTTATAAAAATGGATTCGGCGCTGTAGAAATTTACATTAAAATAATTATTATTACAACAATGCTCCTGAAATGAAACAAGTTTAGGGGAGAGCAGAAGGCACATGATATGATATGATATGATAATTTATTGTCCACAATAAGCATGCGGAAATTTGCTATCCACCAGCATTGCAATTTAAAACAGAGAGACAGTACATACAGATACTTATACATTTGCAATGTTGTCCGGTATAGTGGACGTACAGTGTATGCAGGGCCTGCATCGTGGCATTCAATTGTGTGTTGCATTGTCCATTGAAAATCTCGCTTTTGAGTTTGGGGGTTTGAGGAGTTTCAGGAGCTCTCATTATTTCTTGCGCAGTGTTCCCAAGTGAGACCTGTATCAAATTGAACCGGAAAGTTTCCATGTCCAAACGAGGATGATATAAACTGCTTACATGTACATGTAGTTTCTTTTGTGTTACCCGGTAGTGTATGTACATGTACATGTACATGTAGGATCCATGATTTTGAATGCACAAAATGTATTATCTGGAAGGGTTAGGGATGAAAGCAAACACGCAAACGCCCAAATAGGAAAATGTGCACATACAAATGATACAATGTGCACATACAGTGTACATGTATGTGTACATTTACATGGGTGGGCCGTCACTGTTTTCTCATGGGGAAGTGTTTCATTGCTACCGAGTTGTGGGGACTTTCTGCTGTCCCCACAGCATATTTGGCCCCCATAGTACCGTGGGACAACTCGTGTGTAGTCCCCACAGTTACGGAACAAGTATGTCATGTACATACCGGTACATGTGTCTTCATGACACAACACAAAAGGAAATGTTCCATATTTCAACAACTACAAATTCATTTTGACCTGTGTCGCTGCCACAAATCACAAGAAAAATCCCAGATCTATTCCTTCTGAAGAAATTCAGGAACATGCACAATATGTACCACACACACACTGGTACCTACCTCTGAATGATGCAAAACAAGGCTGTAAAATCCGGCAAATTGGACCAAACACGTGCCAAATGCAGTCCAACCTCAAGCGAGGACCGCAGCAATTTTCCACAGGCTCTCAAATAGTTCTCCAACAGCACTTCATTTTCAGGAATATAAACATGATACTCCAAGACCTGAGAGGATATTTCTGGTAACTACGCGAGGAATGTATCTGTCGTCTTGGTATTTAGGATGTGATAAGATAATGTCATGTTTTCCTCCCACGGTGCAAATAAGATGCGCAGTATGAAGTACTTCAACTGCTGGCCGATAGAGGAGACGGGCGAGGAAAAACCCTAACCCTCCTCAATCCTCCAAAATCAACTAGGCCGTTTTGGAGGATTTTGGAAGATGGGGGCCAGTTCATTTTGGAGGATGCACTGTGTCAAGATCTTAAGCTGTAGGCCTACCTTGTGTTGTTTTTGCTTAGCCACTTGTCCCCCCCCCCCCCCGGCAGATTTTTAATGAGGTTTTTTCAGTAACTATTTTAATAAATGGTTAGAGAGTTCTGATGAACAAAAAAAAAAGAAAACCAGCTCCAAAACCATTGCAATGCAGCATGAAAATCGGCATATATTTTCCAATATGCATGATAATAGTCAGTTTTGAAGAGTGCCCTTATTTGGAAGATGGGCACCAGCCTCCCCCCTCCCCCGCAGGGGAAAAAACCCACAAAAATTAGGGTAATAAAATAACTGTGGGAGAATTTCAAACATTGAGTAATCGGTATTGTGACTGTGTTGTGATTTTAAGTGATCTGCCCGGCTAGTGGAGCAAATACAAACAGCCTTTACAATCACAAATGCATGGGAATTCTAAAAATATTTGGTAGTATTTGCAGTACACAAAACCCACATCCTGACTGCATGATCCACGGAGTAAAATGCTTTCAAAGCCCATTCAGGGAGTTTTATGAAAGGCCTGCATTCAAAACTGTTTTGTTGTGTACAGATTCAGCCAAGGGGGGAAACTTCTCAATGGTTCATATAAGACCAATACTGAGAAATCCCAGGGGAGTACAGTACCATGGAGATACAAAAAAGCTCCATGGGAGTACAATGTGTACATGGGGGGTACATGTAGTTGTACTTTAAGTGAATGAGTAACACGTGAATGTACCGGTACATGCGGGGCCGACCATATTGCAGCTTTTTGGGTTGAAATTGGTAGGCCTAAAACATGTACA